TCTCAGGTGATCCACTCACCTCGGCCTCCCAAAGTGATGTGATTACAGGCATGAGCCACCATGCCTGGTCTTTTTTTTTTTTTTTGAGACAAAGAGTTTTCCTCTTCTTGCCCAGGCTGGAGTGCAATGGTGGATCTCGGCTCACCGTAGCAATCTCCACCTCCTGGCTTCTAAAGTGAGTGAGACTCTGTCTCACAGAAACAAAAACAAAAGCAATAAACTGTTTAAAAAAAGAGAAAAGAAAATGGAAATGGATCTAGTATGAATATTAGCCAGGTCAGATTCTGAGTCATGATAAAACTATCTTAGGTCAGGATCTCAAAGCAAAAAGCAAGAAATTATAATAGAATCAAGAAATAAAAGATTTTTGAGACAGGGTCACTGTCACCAAGGCTGTGGTGTGCAGTGGCCTGATCTCTCAGCTCACTACAGCCTTGACTTCCTAGGTTCAAGTGATGCTCCCAGCTCAGCTTCCTGAGTAGCTGGGACCACAAATGTGCACCAGCACGCCCAGCTAACTTTTTAACTTTTTGTAGAGACAGGTTTTCATCATGTTGCCCAGGCTGGTCTTAAATTCCTGAGCTAAAGCAACTGGCTTGCCTCGGCCTCTCAAAACGCTGAGATTATGGGCGCTAAGTCACCACACCTGGCCAAGGAGTTAAAATTTTAGGCCAGGTGCAGTGGCTCACACCTATAATCCCAGCACTCTGGGAGGCCAAAGTGGGCGGACCATGAGCTCAGATCAAGACCATCCTAGCCAACACGGTGAAACTCTACTAAAAATACACAAAAAATTAGCCGGACGTGGTGGCATGCGCCTGCAGTCCCAGCTACTCAGGAAGCTGAGACAGCAGAATAGCTTGAACTCAAGAGGAGGTTGTAGTGAGCCCAGATTATGCCACTGCACTCCAGCCTGAGTGACAGAGACTCTTTCTCAAAAAATATTTAGCGGCCAGGCACGGTGGCTCACGCCTGTAATCCCAGCACTTTGGGAGGCTGAGGCGGGTGGATCACGAGGTCAAGAGATGGAGATCACCCTGGTCAACATGGTGGAACCCCGTCTCTACTAAAAACAAAAAATTAGCTGGGCATGGTGGTGCGTGCCTGTAATCCCAGCTACTCAGGAGGCTGAGGCAGGAGAATTGCCTGAACCCAGGAGGCGGTGGTTGTGGTGAGCCGAGATCACGCCATGACACTCCAGCCTGGGTAACAAGAGCAAAACTCCGTCTCAAAAAAAAAAAAAAAATTTAGCTTGTTTTTTAATGCAAAAATATATCCATGTTTACTATAACACATCACTTCTGAAAATCCTTCACTGACCATCCCCATCTAAACAGAATTCTCTACTTGACATTTCTGCATTGTCTCCTCCCTCTGAATATGAACTCCAGAACCCTATGTATCCCCAACACTTAACACCTTCCGGAGTATCACTCAATAAAGTATCTGTTGAGTCAAAGGATACTGTTAGTCTCCAAAGTTTGAAATTTGCCAAGCCTACCCATCAGAACAAAGGGTAAACTGACGAGTAAAAAATGGGGGTCAGTCAGTAGTGGGTATGTCCTTTAGAGAAAAAGAAACCAAGTAGGTATGTACAACCCTCCAAGAGAAGTGGCAGAGAATCAACCCAGCCAGGAAAGGAAACAACAGAAAAACTTTTGCTGGGAGGATTAAATGAGAACACACGAAACACCCAGCACAGGTTTCACATACAAGAATATTCAATAGATTACATGTCATATAGAGCTGTTCAAATCTTGGCCATCTATGATGAGAAAGAATCCAATACGAAAAAGCAATTAGTTTAAAAAAAAAAAAAATTCTGAGACACCATCTAAGTAAAGACCAGCTTCCTTATCACCCCATCATCACAACCTAACTTTCCTGAAAGTGTAATGCCTGGCATACAGTAGGTGCTCAGTAGATGTTGAATGATTCTGAGAAACGCTCTAACTAGACACAGTCCTACATCTGCAGAAACTGGAGCAAGAAATTACAGACAATAAAAACATATAGAAGACAAATACCGTTTCAAGAGAAACGTGAAGCTAAGAGGTAGCAGCTCTTGCACTCAGCCCCATCATTCAACAAGATATCTAAAGCTCCTGTGTTGAGTCATTTTTCCATGCCTATCATTTAAAGGCTGTAAACCCAAATGAGGTGCTAGTGGGACCATTCAGGTATTCTTTGGATTTTGGCAGAGCTAAACAAATAGAAAGTGAAAGGCATCAACACATGTTACTGAACTACAGTTGGAAAAATACTCTTGGAGCCAAAGCTTCATCTTTTCACATGGCATAAAAAAGCAAAAGGGGACTTCCTCTTCCCCTAAACCCCTCCTTTTCTCTGGAAGTAAGTTAAGCTAGATATGCTGACTGGGTGACTGGAATGGTAGTATTAGGGGAAAGTGGTGACTGTTTCTCTAGAAGAGAAGATCTGTATCTCTTAACTACTAGAAAGTAGTTGATTTCATAACGAAGGTGAACCAGTGGGGAAAGTCTTCATTGGAATAAGGCTGCCTGCCTGGACTTCTGTATAACCTCTTTCCCTTGGCACCTACCACTCCTATATACAATAAACAAAATAACTACAGTGACATTGACCCAAAGCTGAATATCTCAAACTTTACACCCTCCCCTTCAAGGTACAAATCAACCCCAAAACAAGCCCAACCAAGAAGTCTCTCAAAGCACACATACCCTAAGTTGAAAAACCATTTATTTCACTGGAAAGAAAAAAGTGATCCAATGCTCTAGGTCTAGCCTTTGGACCAAAAAGAGACCCAGGGGCAGTGAGACTCTCACCAAGGTCATTCCCAAATCCAACAGCCGCAGGAGGCAGGGAGGAGACAGCACAGCCCCCACCACAGTTTCGGCACACAATGAGGCCTGCTGGGAGAACAGAACATGAATGGGAAGCTACAGAAGTATTGAAGGACAGAAGAACAGGAAAACAGGCAGGAGAGGAAAGGAAAGTAAAGGAAGAGAAGGTCTGAACTTAGCAAGGTAAATTAAGGTCCACGGTTCCTGAGGGACTGAACGCACAGAGCCGAGAACGTCCCGGAGATGGGGTACCACGAAGGGTGTATTCTCATGCACAACCGCAGCTCGGAATTTCAGCCCACACACATCCCACCTGAAAGAGAGCACAATACAGCGGCTTTACAGCAAAGCTCAAAAGGGCTTTCCCATTTAAAACTTCAACATCTTTACAAAGTCTGATAACTTGACATTCCTTTTAAAAGTTTACTTGTACCCTTCCCAGTATCACAGTAATCTCTAACAATGAAAAGAGCCTGAAGGTCAAAGATAACTGGGGAGGCTAAACAATCTCACACTAAGGTCTTAAATAGCAAATCTTGTTCCATGAAAGTAGGCAAAGACATTCCATTTCTCTTGATGTTAACATGTACCATTCCTCAGAGAAGGTAATTCAACGTCACAAACTGTCAGTGGAGGACAGTAAAAAGGGAAAGGTTCCAATTTAACCCTGAGGTTAAAAAAAAAAAAAAAAATCAACAGTATTTCCTATCTAGGAGTTAGGCCAAGGTCCAAGTTAAAAATCATTCCAAGTCTAGATAAAAGTAGTATCAACTGTACAAGTTAAGACCTGAGGACATCCAATTACAACTAGGGAAGAAACTGACTTTGGAAAGAAGGTGCAGAAGGGCATGTATAAGCTACACATCAAGTCACTGAAGTTTCTTCTCCAGCCCAATCAGTCATGTCCTACACAACAACCCTGGGAAAGTCACATACCTCCTGCCCTAACTGCAAAGATGAGTTATGTATCACTCACACTGTTATTGTACTTAGGGATCAATGGTAATGTCTGGGACAAACTGGGAGCTACTCAAAACTAAGGGCATTGAGATTTACCCTTAAGTATAAAACAATAATCTCAAACACCTAGAGCCCAAAGCTGGCAAGTATCAGAAGAGAATATATTCAAGTAGAGCCAAATGAATGGATCATGGGGCTCAAAATGTATGATAGTAGAAAAAGCCAGGGGACTCAGGGTAGAGCTGGTGGCTCAAGAGTATTAAATGCCCATAACAGCTAGTGAGAAGACAAAGAAGGGAGTGATCTGCTTATGGCAAAGCTCCCAATCCTGGATTTTCAACATTACCAAAGGAGTAAAATTAACAGGTGTGCATGCATACTTAAACATACACCCTGAGAAAGTAGATGATGTCAAAACTAGAACTGTGGGAATAAAAAAAAAAAAGCCTAAGTAAGTGACAGGCTGGGTTGTTACAGGACAGATTGAAAGATATGGCAATGTAGTGGGCACTCTATTCAGGGAATAAATCTGAGCTGGGCAAAGAAGGTGGATGTTAGCATCTATGCCCAAATTTCCTTGTAGAACTTTATAAAAGACAAGTTTTGTAATTCTCTCTACCCCAACTTACCATCAAATAAGTTCTATAAAACTCCTAAGGGTTGAACCGTTCAGGAATGTCAGAAATACGCTTCAAGATTAAGATGATGCCATTTTGGTAGTCTTCTTAGTAACTGGGACCTGAGCAGTGATGACCAGTTAACTACAGTTATGGACTTTATCATTAGGGGTTGCATCAGAACTTCCACACAGCACAAAACAAAACAGGAAACTTGAAGACCTTAGAAATGTCACACACCTAGGAAACTTAACAAAGGCTCTGAGAAACAAAACACCTGAGCCTGAATGTGTGGGTCTCCAGGTAAGGTTCAATTATAGTATAGTATATAGGTGACCCATGATTCACCAGCACATCATTATTTTTCCAGGCACAAATAGAATCAAATTGACTCCCACTACCATAAGCCCTGAAAAATAGCCATGAGGGCCAAAGAACTTTATATACTTTAAACAGTTAGGACTTCTCTCTAGCCTGTGAGCCATCCTAGTAACCTTAACCTAACCCTGCAAAAGCAAGCAAGCAGGGCAGCCTAATTGGAGCCCTTTAGGCTGCAGGAGGGATGGCAAAACCAGAAGAGGGAACACCCCACAGCTCTCACCTCAAGCTTTAAAAGGCTGAGTACCGCGCTCGATCGGCATACTGCTCCCGCTCATACCGGGCCATGTCGTACAGAGAATTCCGCGCGGCTGCCGAAGCTTGGGACAACTCACTCTCATGCCCGTAACCGTAGCCCTCTCCAACAGTGGGGACTGGGGCTGTAGCGCGACGCAGGGGGCTCCGATCCCGCCCGTAATATGAAGTGGAAGCTGCATTAACTGCAGCAGCAGCTGCTGCTGCAGCAGCGGCTGTGGCAGCAGCTCCTGAGGTCGGCAACAGGTGTCTATCGTAGGGATCGAGAGAGGTGGAGGTGAGGTGACTGGCCATGGCTGTATTCTGGACTTGTGGCAGCTGGGACAGGGTTTGCTCTGCGTAATTATACACGGAGGCAGCTGCAGCTGCCACTGCCTCATAGGACCGGGCAGCACGGCAGCGCTTGTAGTAGGCATCGAGCGCTCCGTATGCGTTGTTGTAATACAATGAATCCCCATAGCTCATGGTGTAAGGCGTACGCACTGCTCCGTATTGCTCATTATATTGCTCGGTCAAGTCTGCCACGCGGCCTGAACGATCTATCGGACACTCTTTGGACCAGTGCCCCTCTTTCCCGCACCGATAGCAGCCGCTCTGGTCTCCCATCCCGGGCGCAGTCCTAAGCCGGCTGGTGGACAACTGCACGTGCATTCTTTTGCCTTGAAGAAACAGACGCAAGAAGGGTTGCTATCACTCTTAGTCATAGCCCCAGCCCCTACCCCAGACACCGGTTGTAGCAATGGCTTTACCAAGACAATTCTAATGCAGAATTCATCTTTGCCAAAAGACGAAAAGGAAAAAAAAAAAACTCAACATAAAGATTCAGTACAATGACCTGATTTCAAGCAAGGATCAATTAGATGAAGAAATATTTCAGCTATAACACTAGTTTAAATGCTTAAGAAATAAACTGCTCCTACTTTGCTCAAAACAATCATCTTATCCTTTGCCAAGTAACTGCAGGTAAAAATCTTCAAACAGCAGCTCAATGTCAAAAGAAGTCAAAGTAAGAGTCCCCAAGTTTTTTCTGACATCGCCAATCCTTACTAGCAAGATAGATTTCATTAAGCAAGGGAATGTAAAGGCCAGTTTTCCACCCACCTCAAAAAAATCAAAAAGAATGGAATAAAAGACTCCAATAATTACCACTACTAAAGAATGATCTAAGCTGAATGTGTTAAGAAAATCTCAAGGTACATCTCTGGAAAAACCCTCATGAATTGGGGAGACTGTAGGACACAATAAGTTAACATACAGCCTTCTCCCTTAACTGGGCCCTTTAAATTGCTGGTTCTGATTATCACTTTAACAAGGATTCTTTACAATCTGACAGTTAATTTTAGTGAATCTACAAGGGTCAAAGGCAAACGGCAACAACAGAACAGGCTGTTCTCAAATGCCTGAAATTTTACAAATACTGTAAAAACCATAGAAGAAAAGGTGGCTGAGGAAAGTGGAGAATAACTAGTTATACTAGTCAGTGGCCCAAACTGCTCAGTTTAAGCAGGATTAAAGTATTTATCCTTAAACTATGTATCTGAGAGCCTAAGAACATACACCTAGTATTTTTCCTGAAAATTTAAATTTGCATTGTGGAAATGAAAAGTATTACTTCTGAAAATGCAATAAAAGCAGAAACTTTTTCTAGAAAAGTTAAAACTAAGTTTTAATAAGTCTTCACAGAAGCAATTTCTACCTAACATGATCTACCAGCTTACTTCTCAGTGAAATTCAGAAGAAATCCAAATCCTGCAAAATCTTCCCAATGCAACTGGTTATGATGCACCCTAAACATATACCTGTTTAAGGAGTAAATGGTCAAAGGCAAGGGAGAGTCAACAGATGGATTCTCTAACATTAGAGAAAGTGGTAAGCACAAGATCTTACCTGAAAAATTAAGGTTAGGTTCTGGGAGACCAGAAAACACAACAGGGAAAAGCAGGGTGGAAGGACCAAAATACCAAGGAGGTCTAGGTATAATCATTACAACTGGGAAGTTTAGGTTGCAGGTTATTAAAACAGAGTGGATATGCAATTAAGCACTTAAGTGCCTTAAGGGCTAACCCTGTCTCCGGCATTTGCCCAGGGGGCCACTGTGGCACCTACCAAAACCAGAGAAAACAAGTGCAACTAAGAAATCAGCTATGCACATTCCAGACATAAAGATCATTAATAAATGCCTTGATCTAAGGATTTGTTGGCTCTAATGCCAGGAAAGAAGTTAAATTCTAAAAAATATCTAAAAGATGTTTTAATTGGTCAAGCAATAGAGAAGATACCCAACACTGGGAAACTCAAACTAAAAAAGACCACCCTAATAAATACCACTCATCAATATACGTACATAACTCTACTAGTATTAAGAAATGAGAAATGCCAATATTAAAGAAAATAAGGTAAAAATAATTAGTCACAAGTTAGAGTAAGAGGACCTAGGGTTCAGACCCCCGGAGTTTTATATAAGGATAATCTGTTCTGAATCAAGACCACACTGTCCTCCCCTTAAACTTAAAGGCTACAAGCAGACACCAACTCTTCTGACTGGGTTAAAATGTGGGAAGAGTCCAAAAATTAGTATCACACCACAAACCCTCCACAAGAGCAGCCTTTGCTCCTAATTAAGTTGTTGACAAAATACTCAACTTGCCAATTAAAAAAAAGAAAGCAAACTAGACCTGAGAGACCTGTGTCACTTTTACTAACGCACAGCAATGCCCATGACACAGAGCACCCATTACTAGGAGAAATAATGATCAGACCTCCAGTTCTAAAAAAGCCCAATTTAAGGGAAATGGACACCAAAGACAGCAGTAATGACTATAAATGAGGGGAGTGCCCAGAAAAAGAATCAGCCACTATACTGTCAGAATACAGGTTTGAAACATAAGGAGTCACGGGACTACTCCATAATTTGGGTAAGGCTTTGTAAATTTTTGTTCAGTTCTGCTTAATTAAGTTGAAAAGGGAAAACACTGTTTTTAATAGGAGTTCAGATAGCAATTCACCATGGTTACCACACCTGAACTGCAACTGTTGCTTCAGACCTCAGATTCTGGAATATTTGTGTTATACTTACCAGCTGAGCATCCCGAATCTGAAAATAAATAATCCAAAATGCTCTAACAAGCATTTCCTTTGAGCAATATGCAGGCATTCAAACTGTATGGGATTTGAGATGCTTCCAAATGAAGTGACAATCCATATCATCACCCATGCTGCCCTCCAGGCACAAAAAATTTCATTTGGTCAAGACACCAAGATAAAACAAATCTAAGTGCTCTATTCATCAAAGGTATTGTAATGTCCAGTCCCCAAACCATTTTACTGCCCCTAAAATCCCAATGCCTCCTCCCCAGAAGTCCTAAAATCAGTCTTATAATTCTAGAGTGGCCTTATACTCAAAACACAACCCCTGGGTACAGGTATAATATAAAAGCAATAAAAGCTGTAACCTTTTAAAGAGTTAGTGTAAGGTCAGATAGCTTAACAAGAATTCTGCTCCTGTAAACGTGTTGCTTCACCTATTTTTGCAAGGTTCTTCACGTAAAATGCATAATTCTAATGTGGTGCTGAGGGCAATAAATTCAGAGTGAGATACTCTGAACTGTGCTCTACTACTACAAAAAAAAAAGAGAGAAAACGAGCCTTAGGGGCTCCAAATAAAAGCTGAGCGGTTTTTCTCCATGAGACATTTGCCTACGGTAAAGCCTGTACGTCCTATGCATTCTCCATCTTAGGAAGTCCATCACCCATGCTTAATTCTTCACCACCAGCCAGCCAACAGCTGTTACCTCTTCCAAACCCCTCCCCCTTTACTTATCCAACCATTTTCTGCACACAGCCTTATGTTCAGCCCTCTCTACCCAAAGAGGGTGGTTCACCTTGAAACTCTGTGTTATCAAGGCCCCTGATGGCCTCCACTGCATCCTCTGCCCGCTCCATGTGTACGAAGGCATAATCTTTCACGATATCACATTCGATTACCGGACCATACTCCTCAAACTTGGCTCGAAGCTCCTTATTAGTGCAGGTGGGACTGATGTTGCCCACATGCAACTTTGTTGAGGTTTTGCTCTTATTCTTGCTGGCTTCCACGTTGATGTTCACCCCATGAAGCTTGTAATGGTGCAGGTTGCGTATGGCATCCTCGGCTGCTGTCTTGTCTTCTATGTGCACAAAGCCGTAATTCTTAATGATGTCACATTCCAGCACCTTCCCATACTGCTCGAAAAGAGAGCGGATCTCCTGCTCTGTGGCCTCCCGGGGCAGGTTTCCGATGAACAGCTTCACCATCCTGACAAGAGCCTGGGAGAGAAAAACAAGATTGCTGACAAAAGACCTTAGACCCACATCAGTTTACAAAAAACAACAAAATGACTTTCACTTTAATGTTTCCAGTTTTCTCTCACACACGCCTGCACAGACACCTCCACACAACAACCAAAGGAAGTAGGTGTGAACTAAGGTCTGCTATAGTAGCCGCCATAAATCCTGGAAGAATGAGAAGACGTCTCCAATAGGGAGGTCCTTAGTAGACAAAGGGTTTGGTAAGAACTGATACTTCCAACAGACATACGCATGAAAGACAGCATACGAAGAGATGGCGGTACTGGGCTTTTCTATCCACTAGGAAGAAAACAAAAAAACAGAAGTCTACTTAGGCTTGCTGACTGACTGCCTGAAATTATCAACAGGCTTTTCCTCACGTAGTAACCAAAGCAGCCATCATTTCCGGAAAAATGAGCCTTGTAGCAGCTACATTTCAGTTTCCTTTAGTGAAGGCGCGACTCGGATCAGACAGCGAGGCGTGGAGGATAAAGCAAGTACTGGAGTGGAGAATGCCTCTCTCGGGTACCGTCCGAGTTCCCGCACAACACTGAAATACGTGGTCACAGGAAAGAGCTTCAGATTCATTGACCAGACGGTATCTCACAACCCGAAAAATTCTCGAAACGGTGTTGTAATTGCCAGGTATAAGGGAAAGGGGGTTATCCCAGTGCAAATCTTCAGACTTCCAAGTGCAGCCAAGCCGGGCGCGGGGCAGAGTGGGGAAAAACGCAAGGTATTCTCAGGGGGCGGTGGGGGAAGGGCTGCTCCCGGCTTACCGCGCCAATGCCGAGGACCGAGGTCGGCTCTCAGTGATGGGTGTGGAGGACGCAACCCCACTAGGACACCCCCGAAGCCCAAGGGAGTGAGGTTAAGATTTAACAGAGTACAAGAATGGTAGCGGAAGGTCTCGGAGTCTCACCCGCACAGAAATCAGCAGGGCCTCCTCCTCGCGGCGCGGACGCTTCTGACAAAACGCTAAAATGGCGGCGGCCGCAGCAGTGTCTCTGGGTAGAGGGGGGAGGCGAGTCTACAACCGGATTGGCCACTCAATAAAGGGAAGGGCAGGCGTTCCCGCAGATCCTCTTCCTGATTGGTTATCACGGACGCCAATCACCTGAGAGGCCGGGAAGAGGTTGAAACGTCAGTAACCCTTGAGCTTTTATGCGAAAGCCAATGGGCATCAACCTCGCGAAGCCGAACCCGCTGATTGGGTAAGAGGTCGGCGGGAGGGCGGTACTACAAACGTAGGCTTCGCCGGCGAGGTGCGGCCCGCCATTAGGCGGAGCGAGCTAGAGCACTGGGGTAGGAGTAGTCTTTAGCTTCGTGGCGCCAACTTTGTTAAGCGTCCACGTTTCGCCATCTCCACGTGCACAGCCTGACAGTATTTCGCGCTCCATTTTGCCGTCCACTTTAGGTTTCTCCCTCTAAACACCCAAGCACCGGCCCCCTCTCGGCCAGGACGCTGTGGAAATAAGTTTATGCAGACACACGCCAGGAAAAACAGCGAAGACACACCCCCCTCCACTGGAAACCAACCTTCGCCTTGAGCCAGTAGTCCACACTGTAGCCTTGAGAGTCCCGGAGCTCCCCCAAACTCAAACCTCTCACAGGTGGTGAAAGGACCTTTGTAATGACCCAGAAGTAGGCCCGGGAGGAGGCTGCACTGTCCAGGAGACGCTGAGGACAAGTTCCCTCTGGGAACCAGCCTCCCAGGGTCCGCGATGAAGAAACCTTTCTGCGACCATGGAGACAAAGTACACCCCGACCCCACCCAGAAAAAACTGGAGCAGCAAAGGTTTTTTTTTTTTGTTTTATTTTATTGGGTGCCATCAGCCAGGGCTGTTTTAATCCCATAGAACCAAGCTTAGAGGAAAGAGCCTAGTCACAACCAGCTGTAAACAAAATACAAAGTAACATTCTGCAGAGGGTCCAGCTGCCGCCTCTTCTCTCATCCTTAAACTGCTTCACATAATCCCAAATTCATTAAGCCAGCAACTTTAGTCAAGACCCTTTGCAAAGCAGCTTTTGAAAAGAAGTTAAAAGGTGGGGTGCAGGGGCTGGATGGAAGAACTTAAAACACGAACAAAACAGGCTATAAGCAGTGCAGCGTTTATGAGTGAAGATGACACAAGTACAACACACCACCATCCAAACAAAGCAGCTTGTCCTCCACCACCCACACCCTAAAAAGAGAAAGGTTTCATAATCAAAGGTGAGGTCAGAGTTCAGGGGGAAAAAAGTGGGTTTTAAAGCCCAACATGAGGGCCGGGAGCACTGGCTCCCACCTGGAATTGCCAGCATTTTGGGAGGTGGGGTGAGGTGGGGGAGGGCAGATCACCTGAGGTCAGGAGTTTGAGACCAGCCTGGCCAACATGGTGAATCCGCATCTCTACTAAAAATACAAAAATGAGCCAAATGCGGTGGGGCAGCCACCTATAATCCCAGCTACTCAGGAGGCTGAGGCAGGAGAAGAACCTGGGAAGCAGAGGTTGCAGTGACCAGAGATTGTGCCACACTGCATTCCAGCCCAGGCAACAAGAGCAAAACAAAAAAACATGATTCAGGAATCTGACTGTAGAAAACTGGTCAATAATTTATTCTACAGTAGAAAATGCTAAGGAACTAAAATACGACAAAACATAATATTTACAGGTGTGTTGGTCACTAATCCTGCTTCCATTTCATTTGTGGATTCTGATGCACCTCTGAGCCTGCATAAAGGCCACAGGACCACTGATGAAGAAAATCAATTTCATGTGAGCTGCCATGTGCCCTTCAGAGGTGGCCAGCATTAGAACGTAATGCATATGATATAAAATCCTCTCATCTCCTTCAGTTAGATCTCGTCCCAACACATCTAGTGATAAAACGTTCTTCCAAAATACCAAAGTATATCAACGATCGACTCATTGAAACTAATCTCTCCATATGGGAAGGAGAGAGACCAGAAACAAATCTCCTCAGGATCACAGTTCAAGCCCACTGTGCAGACATCAAAACTACTAGGGACCTCCCCATGCAGCCCAAAACCTAATTACTTGATTTGACTTCTGAAAGCCAACTAGGTCTAGTTAGCTATATAACATTTTACAAGCTCATCCAACTGAATGAATGACATTAAATAATCTCCCTGCCTTTTGTTGAAACATTTCTTGCAATGTCACCCAGGCTGGAGTACAGTGGCACTATCCATAGCTTACTGCAAGCTGGAACTCCTCAAAACCAGGTCTCGATTTTTTTTTTTTTTTTTGAAACAGAGTCTTGCTCTGTAGCCCAGGCTGGAGTGCAGTGGCACTATCTTAGCTCACTGCAACCTCCACTAACAGGGTTCAAGCAATTCCCCTGCCTCAGCCTCCCAAGTAGCTAAGACTACAGGCACTCGCCACCATGCCCGGCTAACCTTTTGTATTTTAGTGGAGATGGGGTCTCACCATGTTGGCCAGGATGGTCTCAATCCTCAATCTCCTGACCTCGAGGTCCACCCGCCTCAACTTCTCAGTGCTGGGATTACAGGCGTGAGCCACCACACCAGGCCTACTTATGTATTGTAGAGACGAAGTCTTTATTGCTCAGACTGGTCTCAGATGCCAGGGCTCAAAAGCAATACTTTGAGCTGGGCACGGGGGTTCACGCCTATAATTCCCAGTACTTTGGGAGGCCGAGATGGGTGGATGACCTGAGGTCAGCAGTTAGAGACCAGCCTGGCCAATATGGTGAAACCACATCTCTACTAAAAATATAAAAAAGATTAGCTGGGCGTGGTGTTGGGCGCCTATAATCCCAGCTGCTGGGGAGGCTGAGGCAGAAGAACCACTTGAACCCAGGAGGCAGAGGCTGCAGTGAGCAGAGATTGTGCTATTGCACTCTAGCCTGGACAACAAGAGCAAAACTCTGTCTCAAAAAAAAAAAAAGCAATCCTCTCACCTTGGCCTCCCAAAGCGCTGGGGTTATAGGCACTAGCCACTGTGCCTGGCCTCCCTGCTTTTTAAAATCTATGTCAATTCCAGCACTTTGGGAGACTGAGGCAGGTGGATCACTTGAGGTCAGGAGTTCAAGACCATCCTGACAACACGGCAAAACGCCATCTCTACTAAAAATGCAAAAAAAAAATTAGCCGGGTGTGGTGGCATGTGCCTGTAATCCCAGCTACCAGGGAGGCTGAGGCAGGAGAACTGCTTGAACCCGGGGATCGGGGGGAGGTTGCAGTGAGCCACCACTGCACTCGAGCCTGGGTGACAGAGTGAGACTCCATCTCAAAAAAAAAAAAACCTATGGCAACAGTTACATTTAATATGCAAGGATGATGACAATCAACAGTATTTGGGGTGGTTTAATTTACAAAGGCAGCTGGATAATAGCCAATAAATTTCCTGCCTTTATTTTTTTAGAGACCATGTCACACTGTCAACCAGGCTAGAGTGCAGTGTCACAATCCCAGCTCACTGGAACCTTGATCTCCCAGGCTCAAGTGTTCCTCCTGCCTCTGCCTACCACGTAGTTGGGACTATAGGTGTGTGCCACCACACCTGATTTCTTTTTAAATTTTTGGGAGATGAGGTCTCACGATGTGTGCCCAGGCTGGTCTCAAACTACCGGGCCCAAAAACAATCCTCCCACCTCAGCCTCTCAGAGTGTTGAAATTACAGTTGTGAGCCACCATGCCCAGCCTTGGCTTTACATTTTTTTTTAAAGGCAATTGAAAGAAATTCAAACTCCTTTCCTTGCACTGTAAGACCCTACCCCAATCTGGTTCTTGGCTGGAATTTCCCAACATTTCTAACAATCACCACCCTTGACTCCCAACTATGCTCCCTTCAGACATAATGTCTTTATCCCAAGCTCGTTTAGACTGGAATATTCTTTGTTTTGATTCTTCACTGGCCACTGATCTAAAGACATCACCCATTCCAACCCTACCTTGGAACTCTATCCTATGACTCCATGTTGTCTTTCTGAATACTTACTAACACTTGAAATCCTATACTTATTCTAAAAGGCAGGACCCTTTCTCTTTTTTGTTTTTTTTTGAAATGGAGTCTCGCTGTTACCAGGCTGGAGTGCAGTGGCGCGATCTTGGCTCACTGCAACCTCCACCTCCCAGGTTCAAGCGATTCTCCTGCCTCAGCCTCCAGAGTAGCTGGGACCTACAGGCACGCACCACCACACCCAGCTAATTTTTGTATTTTTATTTAGTAGAGATGGGGTTTCACGATGGTCTGGCTCGCCTGACCTCGTGATCTGCCCACCTCAGCCTCCCAAAGTGCTGGGATTACAGGAGTGAGCCGCCAGGCCTGGCCAGCAGGGACATTCTTTTCTTATTCCCTATTATACCCCCAGTGTTAGAATTGTACTTGGTACATGGTAAGACACTGAAGTATGTGTTGACTAAGTTAATAGTAAATGAATGAATGTATGAGTTAACTTCTTGATAACCAAAAGGAAGGAAATGACTTCAGATTTTCAGTCAGTATCAGGTTAAAAACCTGGAAATTTTCAGTCAATATCAGGTTAAAAACCTGGACACTTAGCAGTTCTGAAAACACGCACCTTCACTCATCCCTAGTACACTTTCCAGTCTTCCTCAAACAGAAAAGCAAGTACCCAAAAGCCAGAGGTAACCCAAGCTAACAGCGTCTGATCATCACTTTAACAACTGGAACACAATGAAACTTACGGTAGAAGTTAGTAGTTCAAGTGTCTTCACACTGATGTTCACCTACCAGTATTTTACTGAGTACTAAAAGAACTTAATGCTTGCCCCTTGAAAAAAATTAAACATTTTGGCCAGGCATGGTGGCTCACACCTATAATCCCAGCACTTTGGGAGGCTGAGGCAGGTGGACACGAGGTCAACAGATCGAGACCATCCTGGTCAATAAGGTGAAACCCCGTCTCTACTAAAAATACAAAAATTAGCTAGGCATGGTGGTGCACGGCTGTAGTCCCAGCTACTCGGGAGGCTGAGGCAGAAGAATTGCTCGAACCCAGAAGGCGGAGGTTGCGGTGAGCCGAGATGGTGCCATTGCACTCCAGTCTGGGTAACAACAGCAAAACTCCATCTCAAAAAAAAAAAAAAAAGAAAAAAATTAAAGATTTTTAACTAAACGTCAATTAAAGAGATCAGATCCAAATCCTCTGTATTACCACCTCAACTACAAAGAATTACATCAAGAATGATGTTTTTTAAATAATTTATTTATTTTTGTGACAGAGTTTCACACTTGTTTCCCAGGGCACAATCTCAGCTCACTGCAACCTCCACCTCCAGGGTTAAAGCGATTCTCCTGCCTCAGCCTCTCAAGTAGCTGAAATTACAGGCATGCACCACCCACGCCTGACTAATTTTGGATTTTTAGAAGAAGAGAGGTTTCACCATGTTGGCCAGGCTGGTCTCGAACCCCTGACCTCTAGTGATCCACCCACCTCAGTCTCCCAAAGTGCTAGCATTACAACAGGTGTAAGCCAAAGTACCTTCTTGGTCGGGCACGGTGGCTCATGCCTGTAATCCCAGCACTTTGGGAGGCAGAGGCAGGTGGATTGCTTGAGTCCAGGAATTTGAGACCAGCCTGTGCAATGTGGCAAAACGCTGTCTCTACTAAAAATACAAAAAAAAAAAATTACCTGGGTGTGGTGGCACACATCTGTAGTCCCAGCTGAGGCTGAGGTGGGCGAATCACCTGAGCATGGGAGGTAAAGGCAGCAGTGAGCCAAGATTGCTTGAGCAACCAGAGACTGTCTTGAAAAATTAAAAGAAGAAAATAAAAGCACCTTGTCTGGAACACGATAGATGCTCTTTTGTGGTGATTCTTAATTTGCTGACTAGACTACCAAGTTCCTCAGAGGTAAAGTGACTTGCCCAGTCATCTAGAAAGCTGACATTTTCTCAGAGCCAAGAATAATATGTAATCTAGCTGCCAATCTTGAATAAAAAGGGCAGTGTATACAGCACATAATTGAGAAATAAGAGATGAGATTCTTGGAAATGAAAGACAAATACAAATTTCGAGGTTAAACACCGAGGACAATGAAAACTACTCAGACATGAAAAAGCAACCTGTAGGAGGTTTGTTTTTTTTTTTTTGAGATGGAGTCTCCTCTGTCACCCAAGCTGGAGTGCAGTGGCATGATCTCGGCTCACTGCAACCTCTGCCTCCCAGGTTCAAGTGATTCTTATTCCTCAGCCTCGCAAGTAACTGGGACTACAGGCAGGTACCACCATGCCAGACTAATTTTTTTGTATTTTTAGTAGAGACAGAGTTTCACCATGTTAGCCAGGATGATCTCGATCTCTTAACCATGTTGATCCGTCCGCCTCAGACTCCCAAAATGCTAGGATTACAGGTGTGAGCCACCACGTCAGGCCTTTTTTTTTCTTTCTTTGAGATGAAGTCTCACTGCCCAGGCTGGAGCACAGTGGCATGATCTCGCTCACTGCAACCTCTGCTTCCCAGGTTGAAGCAAATCCTCCTGCCTCAGCTTACCAAGTAGCTGAAATTACAGGGATGTACCACCACGCCCAGCTAATTTTTTATATTTTTAGTAGACAAGGTTTCGCCATGTTGGCCAGGCTGGTCTTGAACTCCTGACCCCAGGTGATCCCTCCCTCTCGGCCTCCCAAAGTGCTGGGATTACAGACATGAGTCACCAGACCCAGTCCAATCTGTATGAGTTTTACATGCTCAAAGACGAATATATAACTTATACATCTAATAAATGACTCTGGCTCCTGGTCCAGAAATGAGTTACAGGTCTGATAAAGGCTCAAACTAAAAAGTATTCTCCAGGCATGTCCAATGGGAGCCAGGCAGAAGGCTTCCTAGGCCTACAACCCCACGGCCAGCTACAACCGCTTAGCCCTCTTTGACACCTTTGAAGGCCCCCTACACTATCAATAACCTTTCTTTTCCATACTCACAAGAATTGTTCCCAGAACACAAAACAGTATTGCAAAAGACTGGAGGTGGCCAAAACTAACATGGTCCAGTAGCCAAATCACTTCTAGGTACCCCTAATTACAGAAATTCACTGCCTTCACTGTTAGAAGTGTGTGCTGCACTCACACTGACATCCAAAATCTTTGGATCAGCTGTGTGCTGTTCCACTAGGCCATCCCAGAGAATATTCTAACGCATTTA